GAAGTGCTGCCCTAGCCGGTTTGGCTCAGTGGATAGAGCACCAGCCTGCAGACTGAAGAGTCCTGGGTTCACTTCCAGTCAAGGGCACATGCCCAGGTTGTGGGCTCAATCCCCAGTAGGGGACGTGCAGGAGGCAGCCAATCAGTGATTCTCTAACATCATTGATGTTTCTATCTCTCTCTTTTACTCTGAAATCAATAAAAATATAGTTTTTTCAAAAAAGAATGAAGTACTGATACGTGCTGCAGCATGGATGAACCTTGAAACATCGTGCTGAATGAAAGAAGCCAGTTGTAAAGGACCATATATTTTATATTGTATGATTTCATTTATGAGAAGTGCCCAGATTAGACAAATACATAATGACAAAAAGTAGATTGGGAACCTTGGGGGGAAATAGGTACAAACTACTAATGAATTAAAGATTATTTTTTGGAGTGATGAAAATATTCTGGAATAGATTGTAGTGATGGTTGCACAACTTCTGAATATAATAAAACTATTCAGTTGTGTACTTTAAAAGGGAGGATTTTATGCTGTGTAAGTTAAATCTCAATAACAAAAATGAGTTCTGTGAATTCCTTTACAGAATAAAGGAGAAAATTCACATAATTTCAATAAGGAAAGCATTTGACAAAATCTAACATCCATACTGTTTTGGTTTTTTAAAAAGCCAGGCAAATCTGGAATACAAGGATATTTTCTTAATCAAATAAAGAACATCTACAACACTTACTGTAAACATTGCCATTAATGGTGATGTGTTGAATGTTTTTCCTCTGGAACAAGATAAAGAAGCTTATTACTCTCACTATTTCTATTCACTAATGTACCAGAGGTTTTAACCATTGCAGTAAGGAATAAAGAAGCAAAGTCAGAGGGGTAGAAAGGGAGGAAAATATGTGTCATTTCTGATGATGTTATAAAAGAATCTACAGAGAAATGATTGAAATTAGTAAGGGGGTTTTAAAAGGTGTTGGATAGAAGTTCAATAAACATGTATTTTTTTTTTTACTGAATTTATTGGGATGACATTAGTTAAAATTATACAGGTTTCAGATGCACAATTCCACAACACATCATCTGTACACATCATCACCCTGAGTCAGGTCTCCTTCCATCACCATTTATCCCCCTTTACCTCCCTCACGCTCCTTTCCCTCTGGTAATCACCATACTGTTTAATCCCCTCTGTTGTCTGTACCCATGAATTTATTTCTCTGTCTCTTTTTAATTTTTTTCTCAATCCCTCCATCCACCTACCTCCAGTCCCCTAACTTCCCCTATCCCCACAGCTATCAGCCTGCTCTGTCTATAGGTCTCTATTTTGCTTGATAGTTCATTTTGGTCATTAGATTCCACATATGAGTGAAATCATACGGTATTTTCTATTTCTTTAAACCATTAACAAAGAGAAAATGGAAAAAAACTGATAGCCTCAAAAAACAACAAATGACTATGAAGCAGTCTAATGATATGCAAGATGGTAAGTCTTCTACCTATGAAAACATAAAATACATAAACTCGCCCTAACCGGTTTGGCTCAGTGGATAGAGCGTTGGCCTGCGGACTGAAGGGTCCCAGGTCTAATTTCGGTCAAGGGCATGTACCTGGGTTGCGGGCACATCCCTAGCAGGGTGTGTGCAGGAGGCAGCTGATCGATGTTTCTAACTCTCTACCCTTCTCCCTTCCTCTCTGTAAAAAATCTATAAAATATATTTTAAAAAATACATAAACTCATACTAAAATATAAAATTGAGAGATTCAAGAAAAATTAAATAGAAAGATTTATCATTTTTAGATATTTCAAGTCTCACGACTGTGAAGCTTAGTTTTTATTGACTCACTCTATGGATTTGCTGATCCATGGAAGCCCACCACATGGGAATTGTCCCCACTGCCCATGGCAGGGGTCCTCAAACTTTTTAAACAGGGGGCCAGTTCACTGTTCCTCAGACCGTTGGAGGGCCGGACTATAGTTTAAAAAAAAACTAGTTTGAGCAACAGGCAGCGGCGGCAAAAACACCCGGTGGGCCGGATAAATGTTTTCGGCGGGCCGCAGTTTGAGAACCCCTGGCCCATCGTCTATGTGGCTCAGTTGGTTGAAACATCCTCCCATTCACCAAAAGGGTTTGGGTTTGATTACCAATTAGGGCACATACCCTAGGTTGTGGGTTTTATCCCCAGTTCAGGGCTGGTAGGAGAGGCAACTGATTGATGTTTCTCTCTCACATCAATGTTTCTCTGTCTCTTCCGTCCCCTCTCTTTAAATCAATAAAAACATAGTCTCAGGTAAGGATTAAAAATCAAAACAAAACCAGCAGCCCTGACTGGTGTAGCTCACTACGTTGGAGCATCGTTGCATATATGACAAGGTGATAGGTTTGATTCCCGTTCAGGGCACATAAGAAGGTTGCATGTCCTGGTCAGGGCATGTATGAGAGGCAACTGATCAGTGTTTCTTACATCAATGTTTCTCTTCCTCTTTCTCTCTCTTTCCTCCCGCTTTCTCTCTTTCTCTCAAATCAATTTTAAAAAAAGAAGAAAATTGACCTCACTATTTTAAAAAGTGAGGTTTATGGAGATGTATTCTATATCTATTTACCCTTTTATTATTATTTTTAATATACCTTTATTGATTTCAGAGAGGAAGGGAGAGGGAGAGAGAGAGAGAAACATCAGTGATGAGAGAGAATCATTGATTGGCTGCCTCCTGCATGTCCCCTACTGGGGACCAAGCCTGCAATCCTGGCATGTCCCCTTGACTGGACTCTAACCTGGGACGTTTCAGCCCTCAGGCCGATGCTCTATCCATCGTGCCAAACCAGCTAGGGCAATATTTACCCTTTTAAAGAGAAATAACTGAATTCCAGGAAATACATGTAGTTGTATAAACACCACTAAAATAAAGACACTGTTTTTCTGTGCTAGTAATGAACAATTGCAAATTGGAATAAAAGGGAGGGGGGAAAGCCTAGTACATTTATAGTAGTACAGAAACATGAAATATTTAGGTGTAAGTATGATGAAGTATGTATGTGTAGGGTTTGTATGTTGGAAATTATTAAACATGATGAGAAATATCAAAGCAGACCCTCCCCCCACCCCCAGAAGAAGGAAGACTTATGAATTGGAAGACTCAGTATTATTAAAATGCCATTTCTCTCCAAATAGATGCATGGGTTCAATACAAATTCCATCGAAATCCCAGAAGATATATTTAGATTAAATTGACAACTTTAGTCTAAAATATTTATAGTAAATAATAGTAATGAGTATAGTCCAAATAATTTTGGAAAAGAACATCAAAGTTGAAAGACTCAATTTTCCTTGATTTCAAGAACTTATTCTGATCCTAGCCGGTTTGGCTCAGTGGATAGAGTGTTGTCCACTGACTGAAGGTCCTGGGCTGAATTCTTGTCAGGGGCACGTACCTTGTCACAAAAAATGACAACTATACACACATTGTATCTATGCCAAATTTTTGGCTATTGTACTGTAATTATGTGAGACGTAAATATCTGGGAATGCTGGGTGAAAGGTAACTTCTTGTGAATTTGTATTTTAGGAAAAAAAAGGAATGAAAGATTTTAACATGTTTCCCAAAGAAAATATCTTAATGGCAAATAAGCACACAAAAACATTCGTCTTCATTGGTCATTGGGGAAATACAAATTAAACCCATAATAGGTTACCACCATTCATCCATTAAAGGAGCTTTAAAAGGAAGCTTACAGTACTAAGTATTAGTGAAGAGGGCAGAAAAACTTGAACTTATAAATTCTTGGTGTGAAAGCTTACATTTAACATGCAATCTGACAATCCACACCCTAGGTTTTTATTGAAGAGGAATAAAAACATGCACTTGCACTTGATATTTTACAGAGTTTTTATTCATAGTCACTACATTTTAAATCAGGTATTTAAATAATGTTGAATTAGGTGATTAACTGCTATTTTTTTTATTCCTCCCTTCTTTTTACTGTTTCTTTCTCTCTTCATGCTCATTCTCTTCATTTTCATTTAGAGTAGCAGATTCCTTACTGTAAAAGATTTGGATAAGCAAATTGTGTTTGATACAGAATACAATGGAGTGCTGGCTATTTTTCTAGAGGCCTCACAGAATGGTATTGTCTTGTTGATAACACAGAGTAGACAGTAGAGTCTAGCCCTCAGTCTTATAGGTTCAGAAACGACTCCTTGAAAAAAATTTAGAGGGAGGAAGGAGAGGGGAGAGAGAGAAACATCAATTTGTTTCTCCACTCATTTATGCATTCATTGATTGATTCTTGTATGTCCCCTGACTGGGGCTTGAACCCACAACCTTAGCATATTGGGACGATGCTCTAACCAACTGAGCTACCTGGCCAGGGCCCAGAAACATGATTCTTGTTTAGAGAGAGTAGAAGGTAGGGCAAGAGACAAAGCGAAACATCGATGTGAGAGAGAACACCTGGATTGGTTGCCTTCAGGATAAGCCCCGACCAAGGCCAGAGATGGAGCCTGCAACCAAGGTACATGCCCTTGACTGGAATTGAACCCGAGACCCTTCAGTTCTCAGTTCGATGCTCTCTCCACTGAGCCAAAATGGGCTAGGGTGAAACATGACTCTTGACAGTGTAAAAATCAAATCCATTCCTTAGAGTCACATTAACACTTAACCAAAATAGAAAGTCTGAAGGATAGTTAAAATGTTTACTTATAAATTTACTAAAATCGTTGTATCTTTTACATAGTGTGGAATGCTTTTTTTGATGAGTGGGAAGGGAGCCTGCTGATCCTAGGAGTAAGAAGGGTAGTGAATGTTCAAGGGCCATCTGGCTAATAAGATGCATACTTGAGTCACAGGTGCCTGTCACCGTGTGGATTACAGTAAATTTCCCTCTCCTTGGAGTACTTTATACAGTATACTGAGCTCTGATGCTTTCTTTTTTCTGTTTAATTTGCTGACCCTTAATTGTTTTGACTATTAAAACCTTCCATTTTACATTGATCTGCAGAACTGGCATCAGATGCTCAAAATGTAGCTCAAGATCTGCCAAACAAAAATTCTTATGGACACAAAGGTATGAATATATTATTTAAAAATTTCTCTTAGTTAAGAATTTTACAAAATGCTTATAGTATCTTCCATTTTTATCAAGATTAACTAATAGAGTTTATCAATAAGTATTTATAATCTATATTTTTACAACTACTTGATAAAATAATTCTCAGCTTTTGATTATGGAAGTGTTTTTCAGATTGGCCTTCAAGGCACCACAGGTTTTTTGTTTTTTAAAATATATTTTATTGATTTTTTACAGAGAGGAAGGGAGAGAGATAGTCAGAAACATCGATGAGAGAGAAACATCGATCAGCTGCCTCCTGCACATCCCCCACCGGGGATGTGCCCACAACCCAGGTACATGCCCTTGACCGGAATCGAACCTGGGACCCCTCAGTCCACAGGCCGACGCTCTATCCACTGAGCCAAACCGGCTTCGGCAACCACAGGTTTTTGCATCATTGTTTTCCTTTCTCCTACATGGCTGCCTTATCTGTGCTTTTAACAAAGGACCAACATCAAAGTTAAAGTGAACATAAAACATACATGTCAAATTTATTGTCTTAAACTGAAAATAAATTAGCGTCATTGACATTTTCAGTTATGTTTGATGTATAGGTCTATAAGCCTATAATGGGAACCAAGCTCTTACTGTAAGATTTTAATATTCCAAAATGAGGTTGGGACCTGGCTGTATTCTCTGTGGTCTGGTATTTTTTATAGTTTATGTATTTAGGGTGGGTTACTGCAACAATTTGTTCCTGGCTTCTGATGTGGCTTTCTCCTCTTATCTGCCATATCACTTTACCATGTGGCTCTGCTGCTTACAACTATGTACATATGTTGTCTTCTGCTTCCTTTTAAATATATTCAGTTCTCACCCTATTCTGCGTGTCTAAATTTGTATTTTAGTTTTCAGACACTTAAAAAATTACTAAGATAGTAAGTTTTATGTTACGAGTATTTTTACCACAACTGAACTTTTTTAATAAAGCAAGTATGTTTTAAACTTTAGGATGTTTGTTAACATTTTATGTATAGGTTTTTGTAATGCCTCATTTTTTCTCTCCTCTGGAATGTCCCTTCTTTATATATCTGTCTGTTCATATTTTTTAGCCTTCAAGTTTTTTGCTGTGCTTCATCTAACCCCATAAGCTCTCTCTTACCAATCTAGCTTTCATTAACATCTTTGTATTACATATTTTCAGTGTATTAATCAGATTTATGTAATTTATCATTATTCAGTAATATGCTACCTTTATCACTCATGAAACTTTCAATTATCCTTCCTATGAGATATGATTTTGGTACTTGGAACAATGGTCGCCAGCCTTTTGGACCTCATGGACCACCAGTGGTCCGCAGACCACTGGTTAGCGACCGCTGACCTAGAATAATGCTTAATCTGTAAGCTTTTAACCCAGTATTGTTTTGTTGGTGATTGATGATGAAGGGGTCCTAAGAAAAATTCCACCATAAATGGTTTCCTGTTATAATTTTAGATTGCTCGGAAGTTTTAGGAATGATTTTTGAGACTTTGAAATTATTTTCCATTTCTTGCTTAGAGTGTTTCTAAAACTCCTTAGATTAAACTTCAGCTTTTTGTAGAATTTCTCAGTCTTTAAAGTACTATCTTCTGTGATGAATTTGACAACATGACCATAGGGTAGGTTGGATGGAGGTTGGCACCAAGAAGACTGTATACTGGCCATCTTTGAAATTAGTCCAGTTGTGAGCTTTTAAAACTATACATATACTTGGTGAAAAGTCTGGAAGGAAATACATTAAAAGACTGGAGATTATGTAGTAGTACTTGGAAGAAAGTCACAGTGTAGAAGGAAGACAGGAGTGAAGGGTAGGTGAATGACTAACCTTAGATTCATTTAGCTTTGTGTACAGTGTGCTAAGGAGGCCTGTGCAGGGGCCTAGAGACAAGATTCCAATACTCATTTCCAACAGGGACTAAAATTTCACTTTGTGTTTTTTTCACTATTCTTTCTACCTTTGTTTAAGAAAATATTTTAATTCAAAGAAATGTTATAAATACTTATGGCATTTCTGAAGAAATTATGGAAACCATTTGACAAATGAACCAATACAAAGGATCAGATATCTAGCCTTACTATTACCTTTGAACAACACAAGGATTAGGGGTGCCAACCACCCTCCACATATGCAAGTTTGAAACATATCTTTTATACCCACATAGTAGTATATCTTAGGTGCTACTGTACCAGGAGCCATGCTCCATAAATCTATAGATTCTACATTTGTTTGCCATAACCAGTTTTGTTTTTTATTTATTTTTTAAATATGCTTTTTATTGATGTTTAGAGGGGGAAGGGGAGGAAGGGACAGGGATAGAGAGAAACATCGATGAGAAACATCTTCAATCAGCTGCTTCCTGCATGCCCCTTCCTGGGTCGACACTCAACCGCTGAGCACACTGGCCAGGCCCTATAACCTGTTTTAAATTAGGGACATCATGTGGAAAGCATTCTAAAAAGGACTCTTCCTAGGTAACACCATCAGTTTACTTAATGAGGTGGTTGATGATTATGTTACTGACATGATTCCCAGGGAATTAGGTCTAATAACCTGCCCCTTTTCTTAAGAATGTGCTCCTACTTCTCTTCTTTTTCTCCTTTCCACAAACAAACCTGATGGTAGGTCGAATACTCATTTCTTTCCTTTGAAGGGACTGAAAACATTCACAGTCCTACTTCTTGAGAGTGGTTATAGTAAATATTTTGCTATATTTTCTTTTAAAACCATTTTCTCTGGTGTGTTTGCATGTGTGCGCTTTAAAATAGTGGGCCTATACTTATTTACACAGGATCTCTATATTTGAATATCAATACTTTTCTCGCAATCACTTAGTTATTGTATAGATCAGTGGTCGGCAAACCACAGCTCGCGAGCCACCTGCGGCTCTTTGGCCCCTTGAGTGTGGCTCTTCCATAAAATACCACGTGTGGGCGCGCAGGTACAGTGCGATTGAAACAGTGCGATTGAAACTTCGTGGCCCATGCGCAGAAGTCGGTTTTTGGCCTGGGCGAGTCTATTTTTGAAGAAGTGGCGTTAGAAGAAGTAGGAACGCGGCACAGGCGGGATGCGGGATACGCAGCGCAGGGGAGGCGCGCGCAATTCATGCACAAGTTGAGTGTGGATGGGAGAGTTGGAAGGGGTCGACCTCAGCAAATGTACCTCAATCAGATTGAAGATGTTTTTAGCAAAGGCCAGCTTAGGAGTACCCTAATTAAGTTAATAACAATGTACCTACCTATATAGTTTAAGTTTAAAAAATTTGGCTCTCAAAAGAAATTCCAATCGTTGTACTGTTGATATTTGGTTCTTTTGACTAATGAGTTTGCCAACCACTGGTATAGATGATTGTTTTTTAAGAACTGTTTGAGCACATCCTCTGTATCTGCTCTTCAGGAGTTATAGCATCAGACTTTATATGAGCAGGACTAATGTTTAGCTTTGCTGAAGACCACTTAGGAAGCCATACAGCGGAGCTAATACCTTATGAAAAGGATGCTCCTGTAAATATAATAATTCAGTAGTCCACCTGAAAGGGTCCAAGGCAGACCTGCCTTTACTGAATTTTGTTGTGTGTTTAATTTTATTTATAAGGGATGATATCATTGTTTAATGTGTATATTTGTGTTGTGCCCATACTTTGTTACTCATGCAGAATTGCCTGGATATCATCTATACTAAAGCAGAATCAATTTTAGACATTGCTTTGAGTTTATGTGGATAGTACCTAGCTAAATTGCATTGGAAAACATGATAAATTTTATGGAGAGTAGATTAAGAGCCTCATAGTACTTGGATTGTAGACTAAATTGCTAATGAGATATATAATGTATCTTGTGTAGTATACGATAGATAATCATTTGGAATAAGACAATGTTTGATTTTGGGTACAAACTGTGATTGTTGTCAACAGGGGCCTGGAAGAATTCTGTGGAAGAGTGGACAACAGAAGACTGGACTGAAGATGTAAGTGTTTAGTACCAGATCAGACCCGTCTTTCTTCTGGTTTCTGGTAGGGGCATGCATATTCGAGGAAAGCTTCAGCTATCTTATTATGGCTGGCTGTTCATGGCTCTTGTTCAGATGTCTGTGATTACCATGTTTTTGTTGTCATTGTTGTATTTTTAGCAGATGGAAGGAGTTTGGTGTTTTGAGATTTTTAAGAAACTTGGTTTAAATTGTTCACTTAAAAAATTCCCAGGTGTTAAGTATGACTGAAGTCATTTTTTAGCTTATCTTTGTTCTGTCTGATCTGATAATCAATTGATGCTATTGCCCTCGCCTGTGAACTATTACTCTTTTTTTAAAAAAATATATTGATTTTTTTACAGAGAGGAAGGAAGAGGGATAGAAAGTTAGAAACATCGATGAGAGAGAAACATCCATCAGCTGCCTCCTGCACACTCCCTACTGGGGATGTGCCCGCAACCAAGGTACATGCCCTTGACCGGAATTGAACCTGGGACCCTTGAGTCCGCAGGCTGACACTCTGTCCACTGAGCCAAGCCGGTTAGGGCTATTAATTACTCTTTATAATGCTTTTATTAAAGGGAGAGAGTCTATGTTTGGGTCACAGTTGAAATTAATGTATAAGTCCTTCTGGTTCCAGGCCTAACTTCTTCCCCTTTCAACTAGACTGGCTCTGTTTTGGGTATTCATTTATTCCAGACAGTTTTTCGTACACTATACTAGCTTCAGGGTAGTGTTGATCTCTAAGTTTCTAGGTTCAGCATAAGATATTCTTTGATAAAAAAAAAAAATTTAACTCGAAAAAGAAAAAGTAACTGAACTAGCCCTGTACCATATTTTATACCATTTTTCTGTTCAACTCTCAAGGTCTAGAACAGATGTATGTACATGATAGTTACAGCAGACATTGGAAGGGAGAGAATAAAGGGGTCGTGAATATTGACCTTTAAAATCACATAAATTGATCCAGATTTTGAGGTGTTTTTTTTTTGTTTGTTTGTTTTTTATGATTATATTTTTCCCCTCTGTTCCAGTTTGTATTCACAACTATTTAAATGAAGTTTTCATTTACTATCAAACCACTTACCCTTTCTTTTTTTAAACTGTATTATTTCTGGCTTGTTAGGGAGTGAGCTAGTTAGGCATGAGGAAGGAGGAGAGTAGATATGCTCATTTGATTGGAATTTAGGAGATTTAGGATAAATTATCTTTCTTTTTTTTTTAAGTATATATTTATTTATTTCAGAAAGGGAGGAGAGAGAAACATCAATGATGAGAGAATCAGGAATCAAGCCATGACCTGGTTCATAGGTCTGTGCTCAACCACTGAGCCACGCTGGCTGGGCTAGGATATAGTTTCATTTCTGCTACATGTTAACCATAAGTCCTTGAGGTAGGGAACTAGATGGGTGGTTATTTGAATCAGTGGAGGGATGGATACCAGCAATAAGAGAAAGTCGGCTTATTTCAGACAAAGCCATCCTCCTTTTAAATGTTTTGTGTTACTAGAATTTTGGGGGAGAAAAAAAAACGTTCCTTGGCCTGTAAGCTTTATATCCCTTTGTCTGTTGTCTGTGTTATAGGCAAGTTTAAAAATCATCAGGGGGTTAGAAGGCAAAAGGAGTGTAATTCACACCTAGCTGGGTTGACCTGTTGACATTGAATGAGGCAACTTTCCTTCCTGGGCCTCCTGTTTTCTGTCTTTTTTTTCAAGCCTCCAGTTTTCATCACTATAATGAGTATCATAATAATTGTTCTGCCTAACTTATAGGGTTTTTCTGAGTCAGATGATGTTTTATGATGAAAGTCAGGTACCAAACAGTTCAGATTTTCACATATACAGAGATATTAATATTTTGCTATATGGACCATATTGTATCACAGTGTAATTTATAATTAGTGAAAAGAATTAGTATAGAGAATTTGGCCGTCTTCTTACCCTCAGGGGTTATAAAAAAAACCCTGAAAGTTTTCTAAAATGATACAAAGTAATGGGGATTGAAAGGTGAGTGATCTAAAATGCAAATTCTAAATTTCTTCTAGAGCTTAGAAGGATAACGATTCACCTTTCCCTTCCCCTTCCCCTCCCTTTTCTTTAAAAAAAGATAGAAGGAAACAATTCAATTTTCTGTATTGTACTAGGGTTAGATAGTATGTCAGCGATTTCTGTGGCTCTTATTTTTCTTGAACTTATTAATATTTTGAAGGCTTTAGATCTCTCCTACCATTGCTTTTTTATTGAATAAAAAAATTACTCCTTTATTGCTTCTCTTTATCTTAACTCTGTTTAATTTGTAAGATTCAAAGCAAAAATGGATTACTTGGGACTCTTAAGATACTACCTTGGAACAGGGTTCAGCATTAAGCCCTTCTTATTGAAACAGTAATCAATTCAGCACTTTTTTTTTTACAGAAAATGAACACCTACTGCCTGCTCTGCCTCTGCTTGAATATTAATGTCTGAGGAAGTTTGATTTTATACAGTGTGTGAGAGTCCTGAGACATTTAAAATTGATAAACATTATAGCAGTCTTTGAATAGCATTATCATTAGTTTCTTACATGATCTTATTAGATAAACATTTTTAGCCTTTAACCATTTGTACGCCATAAGTGTCTATAGACGCAAGCAGTGGACCTTTTCTAATTAAATTCAAAATATCGTGGCAGTTAAAATGCCCCACTTTGAAAATATTAAAAAAGCCTACCTTTCAACAGTGTCAATTTTAGGTTTCAAAAAAACTTGATTCTGCCCAGCTAGTATAGTTCAGTGATTGAGTGATGACCCAGGAACCAGGAGGTCGAGGGCAGGGCACATGCCCTGGTTGCAGGCTCCATTCCCAGTAGGAGGCATGCAGGAGGCAGCTGATTGATGATTCTCTCTCATCATTGATGTTTCTCTCTCTGTCTCTCTCTGTCTCTCTCTGAAATCAATTAAAAAATATTTCAAAACAAGAAAACCCCCACTTTATTCTTTATGCCTTAAAAGTGTATTAAAACAGTATGCATGAACCTCAGAATAATTATATTGAGTGAAAGAAGCCAAAAATATTACATGTTTTAAAATTCCAGAAAATACAACCTGGTCTATAGAAAACACATTGGTTGTTGCCTGGGAATGAAGGTGAATGGTAGGAGGGATTGATTACGCAGAGATAGGAACAAACTTTTGCCCCTAGATATGTTTACTGTCTTGATTTGGTGATGGGTTCACGGGAGTACACATACGGCAAAACTAATATTTCAGATTGAATATTTGCAGTTTATTGTATGCCATACCTTTATAAAATTACATATTTTTATAAAAACAGCAAGGAAACCTATGGCTTAATAAAAAGAAAGAGATTATTAATAAATGAAATACTAAAGCTATCTGTCTTTGGGGAAAGAAAACATTATTTTTGCCTTTTCACATTTTCCCACTCCTTTTTGACATTTATGGTGACATTGGTGGTGGTTTTATTGGTATCTCATTTTGTATAATGTCAAATAGTGAGACTGGGACTTGAACTCTGGTCTGAGTTTACTTCACTGTGTTGTTTCCTTGATGTGCAACCCTTTTGTGAGATTATTAATCTAAAATTACCTTCACTTTAAGGAAATTACTTGTCATGATCACCTATGTATTTCCTTTCCTTGAGACTGCCTTTTGGGTGAATTATAGTGTGAGTACTGGCAACTAAAAATTGTCAGGAACTTGATACATTTGTTGTTTTATGTTATATAAAATAAGATTAAGATATTTTTTAATCCCTTTCATACAGCTTTCTGAAACAAAGGTCTTCACTGCCTCATCTGTTCCACAAGAGAATCATGTCACACCTGGGAAAAGGTAAATACTTTTTGCTATCTTTTGTTTGTTGTAATTGAAATTTCTTGTCTCAGGAAAATAATTTTGATTCTTGGATCTGTTTTGATTATTTTTACCTTTTCTTGAATCTCTGGTTTTTTCCTTTTCCATCTAAGATTTTCTTTGACCCCAAACCTACCTGGTGACCTGACAGAGCCTCCATCATTTCCTAATTGTTGTATCCACTGATGAATTAAAATAGCAGTTACGTTTGTGATTTGTTATCATTTGTGACAGATTATGTTAAACCTATGTAATGGTTCTTTTTTACTTTTGTAAACATGTTTTTTGACAGATGAACTTAATACAAAATATCCTTTGGTTTCTTCATATAATATCATTTATTTAGATCTCAAGCTCATTTTTATGAATTCTACTAGTTTTTATTTATTTTTTTGTTAATCCTCACTCGACGATATTTTTTCCATTGATTTTTTTCAGAGAGAGTGGAAGGAGGGGGAGAGACAGAGAGAGAGAGAGAGAGAAATATCAATGTGAGAGAGACATATTGATTGGTTGCCTCCCACACATGCCCCAACTTGGGACAGGGATTGAGCCTGCAACCGTGGTATGTACCCTTGACTAGAATTGAACCTGCCACCCTTCAGCCCCTGGCCTAGCTCTAACCATTGAGAAACCGACTAAGGAGGGCTCTACTAGTACTAATCCAGTAGTTTAGAGATTACAGAAAAGGAAGGAGCTTTGGGGTAATAGAAATGTTGTTAGTGTGTGTACAGAATTGAATTATTGAAAAACATTTATTTACATCCTAGTTTTCACAATAGCTCTAAAAATTTTTTATTATAGTTTTAAAATGCAGTAATCTAGAAGAATGAAAGCCTTGATATATATGACACCTGAGAATTGAAGGCAATTTTGAATCTTACATGCTTAGTCTCGTGCTAAATGAGATGGTTATAAGAATGTTGCAGGGAAATAAAAACGATTAAAGTTTTATGTCTAGCAATATAATATTTTGTGAATTGCTCAGAATTTCTTGTTAAGTGTACATAACTACTTTATTGTATTTATTGCTTAATGAATTTTATAGGATCATTTTCATCTTTTAAAAAATATGAAGTGGACTCTTTCATGCTTATTTTTCAGAAGACAGTGTTGTAGTTTGTTTTGTTTTGTTAATCTTCACCTGATATTTTTTCCATTGATTTTTAGAGAGAGTGAACAGGAAGGGGAGAGACTGAGAGAAAAAACATCCATTTGAGAGAGAGACATCAATTGGTTGCCTCCCATATGCACCACTGAGCCAAACCTGCTAGGGCAAGGTTATTTTTTTAATTGCTTTTCAGAGAGTGGAAGGGAGGGAGGAGGGTATGTGTGGAAATGAGAGAGAGAGAGAGAGAGAAACACGGATGTGGGAGAGACACATTGATTGTTCCAACAGGGGGTGGGAAGTAAACCTGCAACCCAGATGTGTGCCCTTGACCAGGAATTGACCCCTTGACCCTTTTGTGCAGGGATGGGGGTCGGGTGGATGACACTCTAATCATTGGGCACATCAGTCAGAACAGTGCTGTATTTTTCATGCATATATCTCATCAGTCTTTTGGAATAGAACTTGCTCTCTTTTTTATAGTAATACAACTTTCTTTGGTGGATGGGTCATATGTAATATAATTACCCTGGGTTTCTATCCTTGAAGTATCCCAGAAGCCAGAACATTACCTTGGAAACTAAAATACTAGTCTGGGACTTCAACCTGGTTATGGGAAAGTCTGTGTGGTAGTGCATGGGTGGAGGAACTCTGGCCCAAGAACTTTGTTTTGTATCAGCACTGAGTCTTGAATTATTTTTCCTCTCAGAATCTGTTTCACTGGCATGGTGAAAGTTTCAGTTAGAAGAACTGACTGGCAACTGGCCTTGGAAAGGGTTTAATGGAGCAAATTATGTTAGGTAATTCTATGTACCTTGCAGGTCCTGCAGAGGAGAGTTAGTTGCTCACTCACATGTAAGATAGTGTATGTATCTGGAAGATAATTTCTTCCTCATGCTTTCAGGTTTTTAGGCCATAGTTTTCAAATTGGATATCTGTCATTCTGGGGGCATCACAAGAGTTGTAGTTAACAGGGTATTTGTGAATATATTGTGCATACTTCCTTGAATATTTAAGAGAGAAAATTATATGAGATTTATACAAACCTAAATATATTATTGGAAAGAATGCAGAACTTACAGGAACATTTATGATAAATGTGAAACTGCTTGACTAGGCTGCTATAGCTGTGTTCCTCATTCCCCCAAAATAAGAACTCACTTTCCTTTAGGAAAGTTTGAGACACTGGTTCCAAGTAATAAAAGGAGCAAAACTTCAGAAAATTCTTTCGGTTTGCTCAGTTTCTCTAGATTTTCAAATAAGTTGTCACCATTACATTTCTGTGGAAATAATCTAAAAGCTCCTTTTCGTTTTTCTTCTTTTGCAAAGCCCTGCTTCAATCTCTGTGGCTTTGGGTTTTTCTTACTTGAGTGATTTTTGGCATGAATTTACTTTATATTGATTCACTTCTCAAATTCATTTGCTGGTAAGATTTGCTCATGACTTGTTCCTCATTTGCTTTTTGTCTGCTTAGTGTTGATCTGGTAGCCTTGCTCCAGAAGCCTGTTCCTCCCAATCAAGCCTCAGAAGTCAGCTCCTTTGAAACTTCCCAACAGCAGGGCTTTGGCCAAGCCCTTGTCTTCACAAATTCTCAGCACAGCAATCAGATGGCACCAGGGACTGGCAGCTCCACTGCTGTCAACTCCTATTCTCCTCAGAGTCTGGTAATTCATTTTTATTTCAATATGGGATTTTAAGGAATGCTTATGCTAGGGTGACACATGCCTTATAACTATTTTCTAAATATAAAAAGTTATACAGTACATTTCCGTCCAGAAAACAATGATGCGTTTATTTCCAAGCACATATCTGATGCTTCCATGTGGAATTCAACTACTCTGAGTTTTCTGGGCAAAGATAAAAAAAAATTATTTTTTTTTGAAGTTGAAATCTTTTCTGTCATAATCACTCAGGCATCCTTATTAACGATTTTTCTTGGATTTTGTTTCAAAATCTGTCTCTAGACTTAAGCTGTTAATATTGTCATTTTCTAATTTTCTTAAATGCAAATGTTTGCCAGTATATGCTTACTGAAATTATGTAAACACAGTTTTGTCCAAGTTTGCCTAGGTGCTTATATATTTTTTTATTTTTGTTTTGTTATTCCATAAACTTGGTGTACTTTTTCTTAAAAGGCTGCACTATGTAGTAGATACCCTTATCATTTGAGTGTGCTTTCATTGAAACAGTGCCATCTTCTGCTGCATATATGATTCTGACCTCCCATGAGAATTAAGCTCCCGTCAGAAAGAACTCAAGGAATTGTTAGTGGAGGATGTGGAGATAGGCTGATGGAAGTAGAGAAGCTTAGAGCAGCGGCCTCCAACCTTTCGGACCTCATGGACCACCAGTGGTCCACCGACCACATTGGCGACCGCTGGCTTAGAGCATAGGATGTAAAAGAATGTAGCTGCAGCCTGCGGGAGTGAAGTCTCTGACTAACCATAGGTAATTGTGAGTTGGCAGAGGGGAGGTTGAAGGACCATAAACATAGATCCTGAGCTTTCACTAATAATTATTTTGGTTCACTTTTACTGTATTTTACCTGAAATTTACAGTTGAGAAACAGAATGTCTTATGAATATGATATAATCTTTTCCTCTTACTTGACTCAAAGTCATTTGCTATACCCTAATAAAATGTAGAAGTGAGTATGCAAACTTTTTATTGCTATCTTCTCTGCATAGTCATCTCATGTCAGGTACACCTGGCGTGGGGCATGCTTTATGTTTTTACTGTCATGGATGATTGTGCATGAAAGGGCATCAGTACTTGAAGTGCTCTCTTTGTTTTGAGAAGGCCTGATAGTACCTAGCACTCATTTTTTATTAAACCATCATGCCCTTTCCTCCTCTGCCTTTCCATCTGCTACTGGCATATTGACATCATGCCCTTGCTGACTTGCTGGAATCTTAGGCCACTGAGAGCATAGGTAGGACATGAAATTTTTTTTAGTGACCTATGGCTTTTTGTCATGAAGTACACCTTGAGAAACTGGTAAGAATTGTTTTTGTAATGTATTAGAGCAGTGGTTCTCAGTCCTACTGTATTTTTATAATCAACAGGGAACTTCAATAAATAATGACAGTAATAGTGAGCATAATAACATAATGCCAAAGTCTACACAAGACTAACAGAGTTTTAAAGTTGATTGAAATGTGTAAGTGGAATTGAGAAATCCTTTGGTGGCACTAGTAATTGATGCAGTGAATTCTTTGTGTAATAAAGCACAGAGAAAGTGCATTTGATAAAAATTAGCTGATGTAGAATAGAGATTAGGTAGGGACAAGATGAAGAGTAGAAGCATCATCTGCAGAAGCCCTCATTGAACAAGTGGGCTTGAGCTGGGTTTTGGCAGATTTGTAGCTGAAAGAGATATGTAATGGGCAGCGTAAGCTAAGGATCTGGAGTAGTAATAAGTAGTAATAAGTAATGTTATCCTTAGAACAACTAGGATACTCTGGGCCTTTGGATATTTGGTAACAGAAGTAATTTTATTTCAACTTTCTAGATCTGGCCTCTTGAGGGAATGCAAATCACTTCAGTTTTTGACCTTTTAGGTGGTTTTTGAAAGTTATTTTTGACAAAAAGCTTGTCTTTTCAGGAACTGAATGATTTTGAAAATGTAAAAATGCAGTTGATCTGTCATTATGTTCTCTAGTAATTAGGTTTTCATTTTCCTAAGATCTTGATACCTGGCCTGACAGGATAGATAGGGGAGGAGCACATTGTCTTTTGTATGCTTGCTTGTGGGACATATTTGGTGTTCCTAGTCATCTAAACAACTTGAAATAAGCTCATCACTGTCCAGTGTGTTACTCCATACCTCCTGTGTCTTATTTTGGAATACTAACATTTTGATTAGGTAAGTGCTGTGATCTGCATTTAATCTTGGTAGACTTCATGGCTGATCTTTTTTTGACCAGACCTATTCTAATCATTAAAGATAATTCGTGTTCCACACATTAACACATTGCGTACCGCATAGAAATCTCTAAGACATACGCCAGGGCCTGCACGTTTTTGGGCAAACTGCACATTATTTAAATCATGATAATGCACTTTATTTTTTTTTAATTTTTTAAAAATATATTTTATTGATTGTACAGTTGACATATAATATTAGTTTCAGCTGTACAAAATAATGATTTGACATTTTTATAACTTAAATATGATCACACTATGAAGAGGGACCAAACAATATTTACATAAGTATCTAGATTCGCTTTTTCCATGGGCGTGAAAAACGAGAACACTCGTGAGCGGTCCTTAACAGATGGCACGCGAAACACGAGAAAACTCCTGAGCGGTATGAAATGTGTTAAGAAAACACTGTGTTTTTGTTTAAGCTTGTGCTTGTCATTTAATTCCTAGCATTCCTCCTTAGTTTAAAAAAAATGGTATTCTGTTTGTGAATTTGTGACATCACTTTTTAAAATTAATTTTCTTAAAATCCAGAGAATATGTTTCCTTTTCCTTTAACCTCTTATATCAGAATCAGGAAGGATTGCTGGATTTATTTAGTTAGATCTGTTGCATAATAATATTTTCATGTAGTGTAATCATATGAGTCTTGCTAATTCAGGTGTTCTGGATTATAGTTTTTAAAATCCTTGTGAAAATACTTGGCATGTTTTAAAGCCTGGGGTAGGTATTCTGTATTGTTTAGGATTTCTGCTTTTTTCTCTTTAAAGTCATCCGTCCTTGGTTCAGGATTTGGAGAGCTTGCACCTTCAAAAATGGCAACCACCACCAGCTCCCAGATTTTGGATCAGTTGAAACCTCCAAGTTTGGGCCAGTTTACTACCACACCAAGTTCGCAGCAGAATAGTACAAGTGCCCCCACAACCACTTCTTCTTGGGACCTCAAGCCCTCAGCTATCCAGTCCTCAGTCCGTAGCCATTTTGGTAAGTATACATTTTCTGTGGTTGCTTCACTCCTAAACATTAGCGGAGGCTGTTGATTTGTGAACACTACTGTGGATTTTGTCCAGAAATGTTTCTTTCTTTAAAAAATGTTTTTAAATTGATTTATTTGAGAAAGAGAGACATCAGTTTGTTGTTCCACTTACTTATGCATTCACTGGTTGATTCCTGTATGTGCCCTGACCAGAGATCAAGCCCTCAACCTTGGCATATGGGGTCAACGCTCTATCGAGCTACCCGGGTAGGGCCCAGAGATCTTTTTTTTAGTAGAACTTTGCAAAGTTTCTGAATTAAATCAGTTAGCTTTGTATTGTATAAATGAATACCTGCATTTATTTGTTATTATTATTAGCACTACATACCTTGAAGAGATGTACAAAAGCATGGTAAAGGCATGCAAATATAAGGAAATAACTTATCAAACCCACTGGATTGCTTTCTCATTCTAACATTTGCATGTATCCATCATGATTTGGTTCAGCCTTACCATCTGTGGTTTATTTAAAGGCATCACATGTAAGTTGGAGGTTTTCTAAATTCTACTCCCATAGTTTTGTGACCTTAAGCTACCGTTTCCCACCAACACACACCATACTTTATTAAGGAACAGCAGGGAGTTACTTTAAACGTGGGGTTGGTTGTGTGGATTCCTTTATGTTTAAGGCATATTGGGAGACATGGAAGCACATTTCTCTGTTAAATAGTCTCAGGTACTGCCTGAGTACCTGAGACTATTCCCAGGTTTGAAGTGATACCTATGAAAGAAAATCATTAGAGATTCAATGCCCAGGGTTTTTATCGAGGAATGGGGGCTGGTTATGTAGGCACCCTCTTCCTAGTATACATCAAACTTCCAGATTTCTAGAAGGAAAGCAAATATTCAGTGTAAACTACATTGTACAAATATTCAAAGCACAGAGTCACCTTTGTTGGTTAGAGTGTTGGCATTCTTTCCTTAGAACATACAAAAATTCTGTGTTCCTCAGACACTAGCCAAGAGCCAATCTTGCAAGTCAGTGATGGTAGAAGAGGGAACTCTAATCCCATGTGCCAAAATGATTGATTGTTACTGTTTTGTTTTTACCCCTTCTTTACCTATTTTCTAGACTTTAAATCTCAGCCTGAACCATCCCCAGTTCTCAGCCAGTTGACCCAGCGACAGCAGCACCAAACTCAGGCAGTCACTGTTCCTCCTCCTGGGTTGGAGTCCTTCCCTTCCCAGGTAAAACTCCAAGAGTCAGCACCCAGAGACAGCGCCTCCACTGTGAACAAACTCTTGCAGCTTCCCAGCCTAACTGTCGAAAATATCTCTGTGTCTGCCCACCAACCACAGCCTAAACACATCAAACTCCCGAAGCGGCGGATACCTCCAGCTGCTAAGGTGGGTATTGCATGTGAAGCTGCAGACCCAGGGTGGATGTATTTTAACATTTAGCTTAAGTGTTGGATTAGCAAATCTCAGAAACCGAGTGTAGTGTTTTTCAAGCACATAGTTTACTGCTTTATGAGGAAATGGCAGTTTCTGAGTGAGCTAATATTAGAAGGAATGAGTTTGTGCTGAGAGACAGAGATTATTAATTCAAATTACTAGATCTGGCTCGAAGAATCTGATGGTCTTGTGTGCTTAGTTGTGCTGCCCCGTGGTGGAGGATGAGTGGGTCTTTTACCAGATAATGCTTTAAGGCATTCTCCTCTTTTACTCAACCACAATCCCGGCCCCTCACTGCTCTAAGGAAGCAGTTGGTAGCAATGATCATTGTCCTGTTAACTTTTAATTTTTCTTTGCTCTTGTCCCTTCTGTCTCTTTTAAAAAATCCTGTTCCTTTTTCCTTTCTTTTGGCCTTTCGTGCCTTGTTCCTCAGGCCTTCCAGCTATGCCCTGGGAACCCAGTGTCCATTTGGCTCTGCTGTCGACCCTTAAGACTTAGAATCCATGACCTCTGTTCCTGACATGGCAGCTTTGCCTTTTCAGATCCCAGCTTCTGCAGTAGAAAT